TCTTTATCCTAGCACAGTAGTTTCCTACCTTTGGTCCTCTAGGTTTTTGGACTTCAACTTCCAGAAGCCCCGGCCAGCTTGTCCAATGGTCAGGAATCTGTGAGCTGAAGTTCAAAACACCTGGATGACCAAAAGTCAGAAAACACTACTGTAGAGGAACCACTTCAGAATCTGGTTTGAGGGCTGTTACAATATTGTGAACAAAGCCTTGGGCATGAGCATGGGGCTGAATCCACAGTAATTCAAGTGAACATTTCTATAATTAAGATATAGCATCTGGGCCTCCTGTTGTTTTTGTGCACTGATGTGATGTAACAAATTGAAACTGTGTGTAAAGTATGTTGAAGTTTATCCAGTAAACTGTACAAACCCATATTTGATCCACTGTGGAATTTAGTCTGTATCTGTAAAATGGGTCAGGTAGACAATCAGTATTCCATCCCAAGATCACCTTAACTGCTGATGTCCTTGAATATTCCTCTGTCTGCTTTCAGTTAATGAAAAAGAGTAGGCATTGAAAAGAGTGGGCACTGAGAGCAAATTGACATTTGTCAAACTAAATTAAAATATGAGAAAAGTAGATAGGTTATTTTTTGTAAGCCTTGCTACTTTGACACCCCCCCCCCCCCCAATTTTACCGTTGAATAAAAATCTGAAGTCCTTTAGAAAGCTAGACAGGAAAAACATCAATTTCTCCTTAAGGTGATTTTGTTATTTATTTATATTTTGTCATTCCGCCACGGTAGGTTTCTTGAACATATACTCAAGATTGGTTAATACAAGCTAGTCTTTTCTTTAACATAATTAAACCACACAGGCTCACACACAACAGCACATAGGGTCCTTCCACACAACCATATAATCCAGAATATCAAGGCAGATAATCCACAATATCTGCTTTGAACGAGGCCCCTTCCACACAGCTGAATAAAATCCTACATTTTCTGCTTTGAATTGGAATATATGGCAGTGTGGACTCAGATAACCCAGTTCAAAACAGATATTGAGGGATTTCTGCCTTGATATTCTGGGTTATATAGCTGTATGGAAGGACTCTGAATTATCTGACTCTACACTGCCATATAGTCAAGTTCATGTGGATTTTATACAGCTGTGTGGAAGGGCCCTATATGAGCCTGAAAATGACAGAATGATTATCTGTTGGTATCTCACAACACACTATCTCTCATTGGATTAAGTGGGATTAAGACAGTTTAATATCACTTTAAGTGCCAGTGCTCAATGCTATGGCATCCTGGGAGTTGTAGTTTGGTGAGGCACCAGCACTCTTTGGCAGAGAAGGTTAAAGATCTTGTAAAATTGCAGCTCCCAGGATTCCATAGCATTGAGCCATGGTGGTTAAAGCAGTGTCAAACTGGATTGCTTTTCCGGGATAGATGCAATTCTTGCCTTGCTGTGTCAGAATGGAAAGCAAAATCAGTCTTGTATTTAAAATTATATTTATGAGAAAGTTACACATTTGATTACTTTTTCTTAACTGTGGGCCCTTCTATACTGCCATATAACCCAGAATATCAAGGTAGATAATCTACATTATCTGCTTTGAACTGGATTATCTGAGTCCACACTGCCATAGAATCCAGTTCAAAGCAAATACTTTGGATTTTATACGGCTGTGTAGAAGGAGCTTGTGAGGATGGAAACAAGTACTGTAAAATCTTCTAGTGTAATTAATGTGGAGGACAAGTGCATACGATTCTTTTAGGGTTGCAAGATTAAATAGTTTTGTACAAGAGGGGATTTCAGCAGGTGTAATGAGCAATTGGTGCTGAAATCTCTCCTACACAACTGTTGAAAAGGACAGGAACCTTGTTCCTTATTTGAGTTGGCAACCTTTATGCCACTGCTTGTCATGACACCAAGCCAGATATATGTCCCCATCTGCTACTGGCACAAAACAGATATTCTGCTATCATATTTTTGGTATCCTCCCCCCTAATTAGATTGAATTGGTGGAGACAGGGTATTCATAATATTTCCTTAACACTCTAAGGAGAAGCAAAATTGCATCACAATAATTATAATCTGGATTGGTGTGGAAACATGATATACAGTCCCCCCTAACACCTCTGGGGTGTTAATATTTTGATGACTTCATGCTCAGTTTACAGTATCTATGCAATTATAGGATCTCTAAGATGATTGACTAGACTTCAGACCAGGAGGGAGTATACAATATCTATTCTATATGGCGTCATTTGTTCTTCTATTTTAATTAAGAAGAAAATAAACATTCTGTCTCTTCTTAAAGAGACACACACAAACACACAATTTTATCATGTTTACAGCTAAATCATATATGGATGCGCTGTATTGTGCATCTTTACACAGAAGTAACTTTCATCAAGTTCACCCAGTGATTCCCAAACTCTTATTCTCCTAGTGTTTTAGCATATCCAGGTTGAGTGTCCCTTATCCAAAATACTTGACCAGAAATGTTCCATATTTTGGATTATGGTGTATTTGCAGATGCATAATGGGGATGAGACCCAAATCTTAAGATGAAATTCATTTATGTTTCATATATACCTTTTACACACATAGCCTGAAGATAATTTTATGCATAATATATGTAATATTTAGTACACGATACACAGTTGTCTATCAGGCCCCTTCTACGCTGCCATATAATCCAAATTATCTGCTTTGAACTGGATTATATAAATCTACACTGCAATATAATCCAGTTCAAAGAAGATAATCCGGATTGTATATTGTTTTAAACTGCCTTAAAGTTGACTTCAACTTGTTGTGACTCCATGAATGAGGGACCACTGTAGTCACTCTGTTCTCAACAGCCCTGCTCAGGTCTGGCTTCCTATACTAATATTAACAATATAATGATATAGTGCAATATAGAAATATATAATACTGATATTGTACTATGCTAATAATAAAATATATTGTATGAAAATATATATTTTAAGCAGCTCTGAGTCCCCTTCGGGGTGAGAAGGGCGGCATATAAATGCTGTAAATAAATAAATAAATACTGAGTCTATTCATCTGGAATGTGGTCTTCCTCTTTTCTTACTTCCTTTTACCTTGTCAAATCTTTTTTTTTCTAGCAAGCCATGTCTTCTTATATGTCCCAAGTACAACAGTCTTAGGGTGCATCATGGTATGGCCAAAGTACAACCGCCTGTTTAGTCGTTTTGGCTTCTAGGGCCGGATCCAGACAGGCGCTTGTCTCAGAAGCACCCACTTTTTTTAACGCAGATGTTTCTGGGAGGCCTGTCCATACCCACCCCAGAAAGCCCGGGAGAACGATGTTGCAATCCCAGGTGACAGCAGGATTGAAGAGAAACAACTTGAAAAGCTGACATGATACAAGGATTTAAAGATCAATCTGCAAAGACTCTTGCACAAGCCAGTAAAGGTGGTCCCAGTGGTGATCGGCAAACTGGGTGCAGTGCCTAAAGACCTTGGCCTGCACTTAAACACAATTGGCGCTGACAAAATTCCCATCTGTCAACTGCAAAAGACCACCTTACCCAGATCTGCATGCATTATTCACCAATACATCACACAGTCCTAGATACTTGGGAAGAGTCCGGTGTGTGATCAAATACAAGACAACATAGTGATCTTGCTGTATACTAATCTTGTTGTGTTTCAAATAATAATAATAATAATAATAATAATAATAATAATAATAATACAAACAAGAGGCACAACTCTGTGGCCCAAATGATTCATTGGAACTTATGTCACAAGTACCACCTGCCAGCAGTAAAGAACTGGTGGGATCATAAACCTGCAAAGGTCGTAGAAAATGAACACACAAAAATACTGTGGGACTTTCGAATCCAGATTGACAGAGTTTTGGAACACAATACACCAGACATCGCGATTGTGGAAAAGAAAAAAGTTTGGATTATTGATGTCGCCAAACCAGCTGACGGCCGAATTGAGAAAAACAGGAGGAAAAATTCAGCTGTAATCAAGACCTCAAAATTGAACTGCAAAGGCTCTGGCATAAACCAGTACAGGTGGTCCCAGTGTGCCGTGCCAAAAGATCTCAGCCAGCATTTGGAAAAAAAAAAAAACTGACAAAATCACAATTTGTCAACTGCAAAAGGCCACCTTACTTGGATCTGCGCGCATCATTCGAAAATACATCAAACAGTCCTAGACGCTTGGGAAGTGTTCGATTTGTGATATGAAATCCAGCATATAGTTTTCGTTTGCTGTGACATACTGTGTATTGTGCCAGTAAAATAATAATAATAATAATAATAATAATAATAATAATAAGTTATAGGTTTTTAATTGCACACTTAGGCCCCCTCCACACAGCCGAATAAAATCCACATTATTTGCTTTGAAGTGGATTATATGGCAGTGTGGACTTAGATAACCCAGTTCAAAGCAGATATTGTGGGATTTTCTGCCTTGATATTCTGGGATATAGAGATGTGTGGAAGGGCCTTTAAATAGCCCAATTCAAAGCAGATATTGTGGGATTTTTTGCCTTGATTTTCTGGGTTATATGGCTGTGTGGAAGGGCCCTGAGTCCACACCGCCGTATAATCCAGTTCAATGTGGATTTTATACAGCTGTGTGGAAGGGGCCTGTGATATTCATTCAAAAGCTATAACAAAATGTATTGCAGAATGTCCCTCCTGCAAAAAAAAAGAAAGATGTTTTTTTGCAGTGTAATACACTTTCCCCATGTTTTATGGTAGAATCAATTGGGAAATGACATTTATAACCCAGGAACATCATCATAATCTTGGTCCTATCAGCTTTGTTTCATGTGCAGCTTCCACAATCACCCATAGGAACTGGAAACACGGGGGCATGGCCTAGCTTTAACATTATTCAGTGACACATAGGCGACAATAGGCTTGTGCCCTAGCACTGAGTGGCCACGAGCCTTTTGCCCTGGCAGCCTTCTCTGGCCCAAAAGCCTCCGTCCCTCCCTCCCTGCGGGGCTGTGACGTGCGTTGCCATGGTGACGTCCGGGCAGCGTCTCTCCGCGGGCGGGGGAGAGGGAGGAGGGATGACAACAAACATGGCGGAGAGGAGCAAGACGGCAGAGACGGGTCAGTGGTGAGGGCGAGGGGGCCGGGGCCGAAGAAGCAGGACAACCCGCTTTATTTAGAGCATAAAGAGGGGGCCCTTGCGGGGCGAGAAGGAAAGAGATTAGGACGTGGCTCCCCGCTTTTTGTGGAGGCCTCCTGATAAAAGAGCCCCACGACGTTCCCTTCCTGTCGGCTGCCTCATTATTGGTCGCTCACAGTCGTGTTTGCAGGGCCAGGCTTTATGCTGAGGCGATGCTTGGAGGTGCCTCGACACTGTAGGACTAATGCAGTCTGACACCACTTCAACTGCCATGGCTCAGTGGGACCCTGGGATTTGTAGTTTGGTGAGGCACCAGCCCTCTTTGGCAGAGAAGGCTAAATACCTGGAAAAACTGCAAGTGTCATTGAGCCATGACAGTTAAGGTGGGCTCAGGGCCTTTCCACACAGCCATATAACCCAGAATATCAAGGCAGATGATCCACCATATCTTATCTGAACTGGCTTATCTGAGGGCCCTTCCACACAGCTATATATCCCAGAATGTCAAGGCAAGAAATCCCACATTATCTGAGTGTGGACTCAGGGCCCTTCTACAGTCCTATATCACAGAATATCGAGGCAGAAAATCCCACAATATCTGTTTTGAACTTGTTTATCTAAGGGTCCTTTCACACAGCCCTATAGCCAAGAATATCAAGGCAGAAAATCCCACATCATCTGAGGGCCCTTCCCCACAGCCCTTTATCCCAGAATATCAAAGCAGAAAACTCCACAATACCTGCTTTGAACTGGGTTGAGTCCACACTCAGATAATGTGGGATTTTCTGCCTTGATATTCTGGAATATAGAGCTGTATGGAAGGGCCCGCAAATAACCCAGTTCAAAGCAGATATTGTGGGATTTTCTGCCTTGATATTCTGGGATATAGGGCTGTGTGGAAAGGCCCCGAGTCCGCACTGCCATATAACCCAGTTCAAATCAGATAATGTGAGATTTTATACAGCTGTGTGGATGGGGCCAGACAGGCCCTATATCCCAGAATCTTATCCCAGGTTTCCTGTTTATCTCAGATTATCGGTCAGTGCGGATTCATGCAATCCAGTTTAAAGCAGAAAATCTGGGATCAGATTTTGGGATATAAGGCCTTTCTGGAAGGGCCCTCAGACTACGTTAATTCCTCAATGTAGATGCACCCTTAGATTTAGGATGGATTTACACTGCCATATACCACAGGTAATCCACATTATTGGTTTTGAAATGGATTATTTCAGTTTACATTGCCATATAATCCAGTTCAAAGCAGATAATCTGGACATTATATGTGGGTGTAGATCCAGCCATATAGAGTGAAATTGGTAACATAAATCTTGGCAGATTCAGATCTATGATGAGCCTAAACAGAAATATGAGATATTTCTTTGCCTGGACAAGTGTCTTAAAGGGGATGGTGAATGTTCACTTCCTCCAACAGAATTTGGTATATTTCATGGGATTAGAATTCAAAGACATCACAATTTTAGCCTGCAATATCACTATACTGTATAAATGGGCAAAGCATCACTAACTTGCAGTTATTTATGTCATGAAAATATACCATGGTAGGAAAAAGTATCTTCAATATATTTATTTAGGCAGAAGAATTAAGTTACAATAACAAACCTTAAGTTACAACAGCAAACCACTGGAACAACTGTTTTCATCACAATAAGCTAGTAGAAGTCAGTCTGGATCAGAAATAAAAATACCTAACAGCTTTTAAAGCAAAACAATTAATTATATGCCTTTCCTTTTAGTACAAGCTAGAGGGTTTCAGTTTACAATCTTATTGGCTGAATGCTGTAGATTGTATGTATATTTTCTTTTACTTCAGAATGTGAGGTGGGAAATGTTACAGTGTTAATATAAAAATGGCCGGACACTGGTTAAGAAGTAATGTAGTTTAAGTTTAATAAAATGCCAGGTTCAAGGTACAGTAAGATGGTAAAACTAGTTGGCTACCTAACGATAAATAAAACAAAAAAGATGGTGAAGACCATTAAGATGAACTCAGCCCAACTGGTAAGGTGCAGCTGCTCCATAATGTTAGGAATAATTCCTGAATGAAACTCCCAAAGAGCCAGAATTTAGGGGTCTCTCATATTTTGCTTCTTTTGGGCACATAATAAAGAGATAGATAGATAGCTAGCTAGATAGATAGCTAGATAGATAGATAGATAGATAGATAGATAGATAGATAAGCAAACCCTTATGACCTGCATGAAAGAGAGCTAGTCTCTGACTGTGTAGAAGAGGATGGTCTATGTGACCATGCCAGAAGAGAACGGGCTGCTTTGGTATATATCCCAGAGTTAGTGAGACTACTGTCTTTGCTATGTTTTAAATTTGAATCTTTATATAATCTGTAGTAATAGTTAGGTTGAAGTACAGTAGGCTCTCCACCTTTGGAGGACTAGGGGCACAGACTCCTGCTACAGTGGAAATTGACCAAAGAGTAGCCCTGAAGCACATGCTAGAGTGAATATACTAACCAAATCTGTGAATAATTAAATCTTCAAAAGTTAAGTCTGCAGATAGGGAGGACTAACTGTACAGAAACCTATTGATGATCTGTGCTGAGCATGAGCTGTGAGCATCCTCCACAGATGAATTGTTTACATTGTTGCTTCCTTACCAATGCAATGTAGAATGAGCACCATGTGCTTATACATTGGAGAGACATTCCTTAGAAGAGATAAGGTGCTTGCTTTGTACAGAATAATGTAAAGTCTGTCTAACCAAGATGCCTAGATTACAGGGAGTATATGATTAGATTACTTCTTCTCTAAAAGTATCTACATTCTCTGATGAACTTCGACTAGGAGTATAATAAAGTAGTGTATCTAGAATAAGTAATGTCTGATACAAACTATCCTCCCAAAAATGCAGATATGTACACTGCTTCTTTGAAGACTAATAATTCTTTTTCTATTCACTTTAACATGCATTTCATATTTACCTCATTCATCTCCACTCACGACACACTATGACACACTATATCTCTCCATCTCACTGTTTTAGTCAATCTAGAATCACTGAATCATAGAATCCTAGAATAATAGAGTTGGAAGAGACCACATCTAGTCCAGCCGCCTGCCATGCAGGAAAAATGCCATGCAGGAAAAGTACCCCCAATCTCTGTTTAAAATCTTCCAAGGAAAGACCTTCTACCACACTTTGAGGCAGAGAGTTTCACTGCTGAATAGCTCTTCTAGTCAGGAAGTTCTTCCTAATGTTCATGTGGAGCCTCCTTTCCTGTAATTTGAACCCATTGCCCTGAGCCTTATTTATTTACTTATTTATTTCACGCATTTTTACCCTGCCCTTCTCAACCCTTGAGGGGGGACTCAGGGCAGCTTACAAAATGCACAATTCGATGCCAACACAAACAATAAGATAAAAACATATCAACAGCAATTATAAAACAAAATAATCAATTCTACATCACAATCAATAAAACCAATCTAATGCTCAACGTTCGCCAGCTCAGAATCCGTAAATTCATTCCACATTGTCAAATCCTATCAATTCTAGTCGTCATTGTCCTTTGTCTATCTGCCAGATTACCCAAAGGCCTGATCCCATATCCATGTTTTTAGTTTCCTTCTAAAAGAGAGGAGGGATGTTGATGACCTAATTTCCCTGGGAAGTGAATTCCACAGGCGAGGGACCACCACCGAGAAGGCCCTGCTCCTCATCCCCACCAATCTCACTTGTGAGCCTTAGTCCCTAGGGCAGCAGAAAATAAGCCTGCTCCTTCTTTTTTATGACATTTTCCACATAGTTATACATGGCTTCTCAACCTTTTCTTCTGCAGGCTAAACATACACAGCTCTTTAAGCCGCTTCTTATAGGACATGGTCTCTAGATCTTTGGTCATTTTTGTTGCCTGCCTCTAGACATCTTCCAGCTTGTAAATATCTCCTTTACACTGTGGTGCCCAGAATTGGACACAATATTCCAGGTGAGGTCTAACCAAAGCAAAATAGAGAAGCACCATGACTTCCCTCAATCTAGACACAATATTCCATTTTACGCAGCCCAAAATCCCATGGGCTTTTCAAGCTGCTGCTCCCTTGAATAAAAGCTGTAGTGCAGATTTCTTTGAACACACCACTGAAGCTCCATCCATGTTGGTTCTCAGTATTGCTAAGTTGAATTGGCCTCATGGAAATTGATCAAAATTACAAGTATTATTTGGATCCCATGTTTTGGTGTACTTTGCTACTTGTTTCCTATGATTTCTGTTCTACCTATCATATCTTTGGTCAAAGCTTTGTCATAAATATGAACTTAAATAGTAATAGATTAATGCCATGACAGAGGTTGAAAATGCTGCTAGTGGCATTGATTGAAGTGTTAGTGTTTTTTTTAGTGTAGTACTTTTGATCCTCGAAATTTAAGTTTCTTTCTAAAAGTTAGGTTTATTGGGCATCTATCCATACTTGGTAAGGTAAAGGTTTTCCCCTGACATGAAGTCCAGTTGTGTCCGACTCTGGGGTGTAGTGCTCATCTCAATTTCTAAGCCGAAGAGCCAACATTGTCCGTAGACACCTCCAAGGTCATGTGGCCAGCATGACTGCATGGAGCGCAGTTACCTTCCCGCCAGAGCGGTACCTATTGATCTACTCACATTTGCATGTTTTTTTAAATATATTTTATTATGTTATAAACACAAATCAATAAGCTAAATTTCAAGTGTTATACATATAAATCCTGAGTAATTCAACAAATATTAAAGACATTATGCTAATTTACACTGGTATAGATTACATTATCCCCACCTTCCCTCCCTCCCTCTCCCTCCCTCTCCCTCCCTCCTCAACCACAGTATATTTCTACTAATCTTGCAGATCCAGCCACTTGTAGAGTCTTTGTATTTTTTCTTTGATGTGAACATTGGCTCCTCCATTTTTCACCCAGTTGAAGTAGACCTTCCATCTATTTATAATAATCTTTTCTTTATCCATTCTTGGTGCTTGGTTAGTCATAATTCCCGTAATATCTAACAACACTTGGTCATACATATAATCATTCCAATTACTTAACGTCCATTTTGATTTGTCTTTCCATCCTCTAGCAATCACCGCATGGGCTGCTCTTATTGTTACCTTAAATAACTCCTGGCAATTACTTATTATACTCGGATGATCCAACACTCCCCATAGTAGCAAATCATGGAATATCTACATGTTTTCATGGAATATCTACATGTTTTCGAACTGCTAGGTTGGCAGAAGCTGGGGCTGATAGCGGAAGCTTAAGCCGCTCCCCGGAATCGAACCTGCGACCCTCCAGTCAACAAGCTCAGCAGCTCAGCGCTTTAACCCACTGCGCCACCAGAGGCTCTCCTATCCATGCTAGTCGTTGTTAATCACAGTCAGTTTATATTCTTTAAATGGCAAAAAAGAAATGGCAAGGGGCAGTAATGTCCAGAAGAGTATAGCTTCAGTTTTTCATTGCTTCATTTCAAAGTAAAAAGGTAAAGGTTTCCCCTAACATTAAGTCTAGTCGTATCAGACTCGGGGGGGGGGGGCTTCATCTCCATTTCTAAGCTGAAGAGCCGGCATTGTCTGTAGATACCTCCAAGGTCATGTGGCCAGCATGACTACATGGAGCATTGTTACCTTAGAACTGGAAGGCCCCCTGGTAGTGCAGTGAGTTAAATCAGTACCTATTGATCTGCTCACATATGCATGTTTTCAAACTGCTAGGTTGGCAGAAGCTGGGGCTAACAGTGGGAGCTCACCTTGCTCCTCGGATTCAAACCGCCAACCTTTCGGTCAGCGAGTTCAGCAAATCAACAGTTTAACCCACTGCACTAACAGGAGGCCCTTCCAGTTCCAAGACCTCAGGCTAATTTCTCATTGTTGGCTTTGGAATGAGCAATTGTGAGTTTTTATTAAATAAGAAAATGTTTCAAGTTGGTGTGATTTAGGAAGATCTTGAAATAAACGTCCGCTAGGCAAAACACTGCACAAGACTATTGTGGTTATCAGATCATTATCTCCTTAAATTTCAGTGCTTTTTATCAGACAATATGTAATATATTTGGGAAATATCATAGCATATAACAGATCATTATGCTTCATTATCTGCTCAAACAGCAACAATTTCATAGGAAGAAAGTATTCTTGTTTTGTATTGTAGCACATTCCCCATAACTAAGTAACTTATTGTTATTTCAACAGGTAGTGACATAGGAATAGATGATGTTATCACAGGAAATTTAACCAAATATGCTGCTGTTCCACCTGCTTACCTTGGACAGCCAAAAAAGGGACATCTCGTATTTGATGCCTGCTTTGAAAGTGGTAAGTGGTAGAATGTTCTTTTTAAAATGTGAGTTGATAACATGTATACATTTTCAGACTTAGACCTGAGTGTCATAATTCTACTAGGAGATTCTTTTTAAGATAATGACATGGGACTTCTGCTTATTGACAGCACCAAACAACTTTCTATGCCAATGGCCCAGGATAGTTTGGTAGTACATCTAACTTCAACTGAAAGAAGCCCCACTTCAAAGGTGTTGAAGCATACACCAAGCTCCTAGGAATGTGAAATAGGTCAGAGGCCTCAAGCCCACAATTGCTAGATTGCAGTAAAGGGCTTTTTGCAGTTTAAAAAAGGTAGCTTCTCCTAACAAGAATGTTTTTCAGAAGTCCCTGATGGGCTTTGGGGGGATTTTGGCAGTTCAGTTCCATGCTGGTTGAATTCATAATACACCATCTCTGCAAACACTTTATACCTAATATACCTTGTCTTTTCCTAATTCTCCATTTTACAGAATTTCTGGAAGTATGTTTGGGCTGCCACACTTTTTGTTTTACCTTTTTTGACTGCAACAATGCGCAATTTTTTCTGGCTTTCATCCTAAACTGCTTTTGGCTTAATGACTGTCTTCTTCCTAACCGTACTGCAGTTTAGGAACCTGGTTAACCTTGACTTTGGACGATTGTTTACTATTGTAGTGTCCTATTTCCACTCTAGATGTGATATAGGAAATGTTTATTGTATTACCAGTTGTAATAAAATGCAAAACCCTGGTCCTATAATTTTAAATGGTCTCCTCTCTCTTGGTTTTTTTTTGTCCCATTCATCACAGCAGGAATGGACACCTAGAAAATATGTATTACTGAGGCTGTAGTTGTGGTGGTGGTAGTAGAATGCTACAGAATAGAAGTGTAAGGCTATGGTCTTAACAGCAGTTTTATAATGGTCATTGATAGTTAAACACATCTTAGCATAAATAAACTGATTGAATTATTTGTGGAGATGTGTAATCTTGGTCCAGTCAAAGTACATGTGATGGTTTGATTTCTTAACCTGGTTAGAAAAAAATAGATATGCAAAAGTGCAGATGGAGAAAATTGTGTTAATGGTGCTCATAAGACGAGCAAACATTGGATGGTGCTAAAAGCAATTGTATATGTTCAATTTATATAATGACATAAATAGTCTTTGTCTCTATTCAAGTTCTTGTTGATGAATTCTGTTCAGTAGTTTACCATTAAGGACATATTCCATAGGTAACTGGTTGACACAGATTAATCAATGGCTTAGCTCTAATTTCTGTGCCTTAAGCAGGAATACAAGTTTCCTGTGTTGCTATAACTTTTCTGTGAAGGAAATTAGAATGGTCAGAAAAATTGACCATTTCTCACTGATGTCACAATTCAGTTCACTGTTGATGTTCCCATGCCATGCTGTCAAGGACGCCAGATGCCATAGTGTCTATGTAGAGCCATGCTGGGAGGAAAAAAAGCATGAATCATTCATATGATCTACCCAAAGCTCTGTTCTGCATAATCACATTCTGAGATTGTACAATTGTGAACATTTACCAATTATGCATATTTCAAAGAAGAGGTGCAGTGTCACTATTAAAGGATTAATATCATAGAATCATAGAATCAAAGAGTTGGAAGAGGCCTCATGGGCCATCCAGTCCAACCCCCTGCCAAGAAGCAGGAATACTGCATTCAAATTACCCCTGACAGATGGCCATCCAGCCTCTGTTTAAAAGCTTCCAAAGAAGGAGCCTCCACCACACTCCGGGGCAGAGTGTTCCACTGCTGAACAGCTCTCACAGTCAGGAAGTTCTTCCTCGTGTTCAGATGGAATCTCCTCTCTTGTAGTTTGAAGCCATTGTTCTGTGTCCTAGTCTCCAAGGAAGCAGAAAACAAGCTTGCTCCCTCCTCCCTGTGGCTTCCTCTCAAATATACTTTTGCATATTGCTAGCTTCTTGGTGTTTTGTAAGGTATGAGATGCACAATCTTCAGATAACCATATTGGGACATGACTGAGCCTTTGCTCCATCATTTCAAGGCTTCTAGTATGAACCTCAGATAACTGTGGAATGGCCCTTCTCTACAGAGTCCTCCTCCTTTTTCTCTAGACTTCATTGTTGCTTCACATGCTACTACTACTCGTTGTGAAGTCTTTCCTTCCTTCTCCTTCAACTCTTACACTATGGTAGACTTCATTGCATCCTGTTCAGACAGTAACCAAAGACATTAATCATATATAAATGGAAAAATATATAATAAATATTTTTCTATAAAAGTGTAGTCATCTGTGGGCTTGCTATTTCATATGGTTCTGTACAACCCCAATTGAATAGTAGTTTGGCTAGAGGTTTCTGAGTGTGCTTTAATGGCCAGTAAGAATGACCATTAAACAGTAAAAATTCTGGGTTCCTAACTTTGAAAAAAATGATAATCATATTACAGATGCAATTACTCAGCCTGCACAATACTGGCTATATAAATCCACAGCTGTAGAAAAGAGGCTTCTGGAACTAGCAGTTTGCATAATGATCTCAATATAAATGTTCTGGTAACCACCAAACGGAATTTACATGACCAAGGAAGCAAGATCACCTTGCTGGACCTAGCCCTCCATAGCCCCAATCCCTGCTCCAAAGAAGTTGGCATTTAAACACTTCCCTAGAAGCAGAACTGACCCTAGAAATGCCTTAGATGCAATTTCCCTCAGATCTGCTGTGAGTGCTGACCAGTAGTCTGAACACTGTTAATAAGTAAAAGCAATAGAACTAGATTGCCTCTGATGGGTTTTAGCAAGGTACCAGTCCACTGTGTTCCACAAGCTGCCTTCTGGAGACTATTAACCTTTGATGGTTCACATGATGATCAAAAGAGACCAAAATCCACTGCAGAGGATCTTATTGACTTTACTTGCACTTTATTGCATTTCACAGAAACTATGCCAATTTTCAATGTAAAGTAAATGAAAAAGTGTCATATTTCTGCCTTTAGGTGCATCACATGATCTGCATTGATAGAATTGCATCTGTACGGCTTCTGCTTGCAGTTTGTGTGCCGCTTGCTTCCATTATGGCGACAGATGCAAAATTAGAAATTGTCCTCATTGCCTTCACAACATATCTAAAGTTGTGCCAATTTCAATTCTACTCTACAGTGGAAAATCCCATTTTCTACATTGAATTTGCTATCATGTCCAGATAGAGGATCAGTGAATGTAACCTTGGATGGAACCCTCCTCCCCCACAAAAACCCCAAACATCATTTAAGTTGAAAATAATAGGACAGTGATGCAATGCCAGATTTACTGTGTGATACATGCCATGTTGAATGTGTCCTATTCCACCTCAGTTATTTTCACTAGTTCTCTATTACAAACCTATGAAAAATGACTACAGCTGTGGTTGTCTTTCTGGATAGTTGTTTACAGATTATCAGTTACTTCAGGAATTCTTTTCCTCATGCCATACTTTTGCTTTTAGATCTGTATCACTATTTCTCCACAGGTCTTCCATATATTATGGAAATTACTCAAAGAATTTGGGGGCTTTTATCCAGGGACAGCTGATTGCTTCTTCATCAAGGTGGTCACCTACTGAAATGGAGATCATCAGAGATCAAAACAAAATTAAATGAAGATTCTGAATAACAACATCGACCTGGAATAATAAATAAAAAGTTCAGTTTCTGGACACTACTATATACCTACATAGTAGACATCTGCTCAGACTCACAAGACAGGGACATCAAATTCATAAAAATACAAGAAAGCATTCCTCAAGCTACAATTCCTATTATATGAGATAAAAACAACAACAAAGAAAGAATTGTGCTCAGGACTAATACCTTACAAAACAGACTGAAGACATGAAATGGCAAGATCCCACTAGTGGTTATGTACATCTTTCAACTGAGATATCATCAATGAACTGCAACCTATTGTGGACAACAATGTTTCTCTTTCAAGGGCTCTTGGGGCCTTTCCACATAGCCATATAATCTAGAATATCAAGGCAGATAACCCATAATATCTATTTGAACTGGATTATATGAGTCCACATTGCCATATAATCCAGTTCAACATGGATTATATACAGCTTTGTGGAGGGGCCTAGGTGACAGACTTCTACTTGCCTGCAGATAGCCTCCCAATTTCAAACAGTTATTTACCTAGAGGAGCACGCCCCAATAGATATAAGATCTTGCCACAAACCCAGATTTCAAATCTACTCAGGAAATGTCATCACATGATCCAATCACACTACACACAGTATTAGAATTAGTTTTACTTTTTCATTCTCTAATGTGCCCATGCTCATTCTCTGTCAAAAATGCCCTTCAAAAGTCTACATTGGCCAAACAAGCACATCTCTGTGCCAGAGGATAAATTGATATAAATCAGATATTACAAATTGAAACACACAAGGACCAGTTGCAGAACTGGACACTTCAGTCTTTCAGGACATTCCATCTTGGACTTTAGTGCAGCACTCTCTGAACAAAAAAACTACAAAGGATAATAGGAATATATCCCAAACTCCAGTCCATTAATAGTGAGTTGAATAGAAGCAATAGTTCCTTGGCACATTACATATTAATTGTACCCCAGCCTCCTACAGGCTCCCTTGGCAATTATCAGATTTCCCTTCTGGTTCCCTGCTAGCATCACAATACATCCTAACAGCTCTTTCCACTATCCCTATCCCTATGGTTACCTACTCATTGTGGCTTTAGGTAACATATTTCCTCCTTCCTTTGTCATCCCAACATAATGTTCACAAGTTTTGTATTTCTACTGCTATCCACACAGTTTGTTCAGAAAGCTCTGTTCTTATGTGCATCACTCCATGAATTGAATGAAGTAGACTTAATTCTACAAAAGTTTATGCTACTAGGTTTTTTTTCCCCCTGTCAGTCTGAAAAGTGCTGCAAGACAATTGTGTGTAACCATCATCAAATCAGCCACAACTGCATGGAAGGAAATGGGTGATATTTACCATTGTTATTTTCTCTTGCCATACTCTTAATTGTAAGAGAGAAAAAATGAGGAGTCATATTTGCCTAACAATATTGTGTGTGATCAGTTACAGCAAGGACACATAGGTTTCAATCTCCTGGCACCAGAATGTGTGGAGTCCTTAGGGATTCCTTAGGGAGGGATTCTGTGGCAAGTGAAGTGTGCTACTATCTTGAAGCATTTGTCTGGATACCCCCTCTTTACATGCAGAAGCTAGACACATTTGGGCACACTATCTGTGTCTGAGCAGAATAAATTTTTTAATATGACATCTATTTTGGATGTCCAAGTAGAACCTAGAATCAGGTACCCAGATGTACCCAGGTTTATGCACATATGAATAGAATCATTTTGAATCTACCTGCACTGATTGTTCATGAATCTAATGGCAACTGCACAGGGGTTCTGTTTCCCACTGCCAAAGCACATGCCAGTTTTGGAATGCTTTATAGCATCAAGAAATTGAGGTTTTTTTCTTTGACTCTCCCATGTCTTGTCCTGTTGTGACTGCTGTTACTACACCTGCCACAAGATAATTATTTTATTCCTTATGACTGCTTGTTGGCTTGTAATATGTTGTCTAGTGTTATGGAGAGTATGTTTCTGGCACAAAAGAATGATATGTTTGCCTGACAAAACGAGGAGTTGACTCATCTCTGTAGATAGAATTAAAGTAGCCTCTCTTACAATTTCTGAAGCCACACCTGACAAGAGAACACAACAAATCATTCCAGCCATATAGTGAATCCTTATTGGCTGGAATTTTGCCTCATGATCTTTCCTAGAATTTTTTTAAATATATGTTTATTATATAGTAAATTTATAAAGTAAAAAGTTGATTCTATACTTTATGTTTAGATACCATAACTCAGCTTGGCAATAGATGTATTTCCTTCCCAAGAGAGGATGTTGAACTTGCTGTGATCAAAATGCCTTTCTGCACTATTGCTGAGATACCTGATCTGTTTTATTTTATACAAATACTAATTGGGATGGTTGTACGTACATGCAAGATTCAGTCAATCAGCTTGAATATACAGTTTGACTGTAGGATATAGTCTCTAGGCACTTTCTTAATTCTTGCATAATCCCTATTGACCCTATTGGCAACTGACAACCATTGCATACACCACATCTGTATCCTTTTCCCCCAGAAGATCTGTGATGGTTTGAACCAGATAGACTTTCAGATCTCCCTCCTCAGCACCCTTCTGCAGGCCTCTGATCATGATCAAATTGTCATTAACGTTTAGTTCCAGTAAGTCCATTTGCTCTTGTAGTGCATCCTGTTTCACCTCTGCACCTCTAATCAAGTCTGTATTCACCTTGATCTTTTTTTTCAGAGATGTGCTCTCTGTCTCTAGTTTGGTGACTATTATCAAAAACTTTATTATCTTTTTGTAATTTTTCTGACATCATCCCTCAATGAGTCTAGACCCACTTTAAATCCTGAAACATCAATCTAATTTCCAAAAGAAATTGGTCAGAGGGGGTGCTGGAGGGAGCACTAGAGTTGGGTTGTTTCTTTTGTTTGTCGCACCACCAATCACAGTAGCCTATTATGTCATCAGCCCTTTGGCACTCAGCCCAGTCAGCCTAGGTGATTGACCCTTTTGATCCACTCATTATGTTTTAAAACAGAGCAGCTGCTTTATCTTTCAAGGACACTCTTTAGCCACAACAGGTTGTAGAAGAGCTGTGATGAAGTTGGGGGGCAGGAGGGATGTTGATTTTAGCCTTTAATCATATAAAGTTCTTGTACGCCAACTTCAATTTCATTAGCAAGATGAAATATCAATGTCTTTTAGAGTCTTATTTAATTCATATCTAAATCCCGCCTATAAAAACAGTTTAATAATTCCCTTTTTCTGTCTTCTAGAAGGACTGAATTTGGATTATGCAATTGTAAAATGAATCCAGACAATTAAACACCCTCTCTTCAGCCAATAGAGGCTGTCGGTCTTTAGCACAGGCTATGAAACCAAATAGATCCTTCTTGAGTGGTGCTACTTAAGTTTCTTTGAAAGAGTCAAAGAGAAGAAACAAAAGAAGTGTCCTTACTGTTAAAATAGCAGTGGCAGCTGACTGCTGAAAGGAGATTGAAGCAGGAGCTTCTTTGGCACCCAGCCACTGTTTAAACTGATGAAGAAAAAAAATCTTCCATTCTTTAAACTGCTTGCTTCATGGTACCAGCTATCTTCTCTCAGTCTGTTTGCACAACAGATTGAGATCGAAATGGGATAAATGTTGTTATATCCCGCAGTCTCGTAAATCAGGCTCTTTGCTCCACGGCTAGCTGGAAGTCCTTCAAAAAACTTATTCTAAGCAAATAATATGAATCTCCAATAATGGTGGAGGGCTGCAAAATCCTGTTTCTCAAGGAGATTCCAACAAGGTTGCTTATAAAAATAAAAGAATTTGCTTTTTTGGTGACAAAACTGAAGAAGAAAGGAGTTGCCTTCATATATCGCAGTTCCTCCAAGGATTATAATTTTATTATAAATCTAAAAGACACACCGTTTTGGGTGTACCAAAAGCAGAATAATTTCTATGAAAATATAATAGGAATTTTGAGGAAGATACTGACCGAGAGGTGCCCTCAAAAAAGAAGGACACAGAAGGATCAGGAGTCATCAGCTGCATCGCAGAGCCTTCAGGCAGAAGAAGAACAGACGTAGTAGTAGTAGAAGAAGAAGAGTTGGGTTCTGAGACTGTTTAATGTTCTGAGTGTATATAGCAAATGGTATCACAATGTGGGGAGTATTTGTGGATAGGAGAGGGAGGAGATGTTAAGGATGAAATTACATGGGTTAAAAATCTCTATGAAAGTTAATGGGTTGAACAATTGTATAAAAAGGAAAAGGTTTTTTCATTTCTTACATAAAAATAAGGTGGGCATAACTTGCATTCCGGAATCTGACTTTGTATCAGGAGACAAACATCTTCTAATCCAAGAAAAATAAGGACATTTATTTATGGCATGTAATGTTTAAAAAACTAATGGTATGTTGTTCTATATAACTAAGGAAGTAGAACCAGAGAAAATATATGAGGATCAAGAAGGCAGAATATTAATTGTTAAAGTGAGGTTTCAATATAAGAACCCAGACTGCTGGCACTGATCAAAGTCCTTTACACAAACGCTTACCTGAAAGTGCGATTTGGGATGCAAGGAGCCATGACAAATGGTGTAGAAACATATAAAAGGGTCGGACAAGGTGTATATTAGGTAAAGGTAAAGGTTTTCCCCTGACATTAAGTCCAGTCATGTCCAACTCTAGGGGTTGGTGCTCGTCTCCATTTCTAAGCCAAATAGCCAGCATTGTCCATAGACACCTCCAAGGTCATGTGGCCAGCATGACTTCACGGAGCACCGTTACCTTCCTGCCAGAGTGGTACCTATTGATCTACTCACATTTGCACGTTTTCAAACTGCTAGGTGAGCAGAAGCTGGGGTTAACAGCGGGAGCTCATGCCGCTCCCAGGATTCGAACCTATGACTTTTCGGTCAGCAAGTTCAGTAGCTCAGCGCTTTAACCCACTGCGCCACCAGGGGCTCCTTAGCACCACTATTATTTAGCTTTTTTGGTAAATGATCTACCTGAACAGTTGAGGGACCCAGAGGTACATATGCCTAAGGTACTTAAAACACACTTCAACATTTTGTTATATGTTGATGACATGATTTTATTGTCATATTTGCAAGTTGGACTACGTAGGCTGCTGAGAAGATTTAATTCTTATTGCCATAATAACTCCCTAATAATAAATTGAAGTCAAAATAATAGTATTTGGCAAACATCATAATAGACATAGATGGCTCCTGGGCAGTGAACTAATAGAGCAAGTTTGCCCTAGAAGGCATTTTTTCTGAGACAGGTTCCTGGCTCCCATATCATCAAAGAAGCTCAGCCAGAGTGAGGGTGTGTGTGCAAATCTACTGCTTAAATTAACAAATCATAGCCAACCAGGATCTTTAGACCCACTCTTTTCCCCAAAAGTAACAGAACTTTATTGACAATATCTTAGTTGTGTTTTTGAAAAATGTAGTTAGTTTATTTTTACCAAAATACAAAATGCTGGATCTTCTCACAGTCATCAATAACGAACAGGCCTCTAAGAGCATGTCCTTGGTCCTCTAGATAAGCACCATAATCCTTTGAAATCTGGTGTGTCAAATCAGAAAGAAGTGGTATCTTCATAGGTCCAAGTCCTCCTTGTTTCCGTTGTGTATTGATCCATGCTAGATGAGTGAACTGCGAATCTACAGAGCAAGCTACTACGTCAGAATTTACTGCTCTGAATTCTTCAATTCTGTCACTGAAGGCAATTATCTCGGTTGGTCACACAAATGTGAAGTCAAGAGGATAAAAGAAGAAAACAAGGTATTTCCCTCCAAAATCTGACAATTTTAGTTCTTTAAACTCTCCATTGATGACTGCTGTTCCTTCCCATTCAGGTGCTGGTTTAGAAATCTTGGCCTTGCTGAGGTGCATTGAGCCCCACTTCTTAAAATATATAAGGCTAAGATTACCCCCATGCTCTTATATGGGGCTGAAGTTTGGGCCCTAAACTAGATCACACTATTAGAGCAATTTCAATCACAGCACCTGCAAACTTTTCTGGGAGAGGACCAAAAGACCTCAGCTGCCGCAGTTAGAGTAGAACCAATACCTCTGACAATACATTATATAAACGACACACTGGGATCCTTACATTAAAACTACAATTTTATTGGCCAGTCAGAATGCTAAAATAATATACAAAATGGCCCCTTTCGTATATAAAGCAACTCAGCTGAGAACTGCATATTTGGAGTCAATTGGGGTAAACTGTAGGGGTGATACAGATATTTGAGCTGGATCGGATCTTGATCCCTTGTTAACAGCTCATTTATTTTAAATTTTGTTGTACTGTGGGTTGTATCCTGTATGTGTATGTGTTAAATGTGTTTGTCAAGTGTTTTGATATGGGCTAATCACTAAAAGTACCAAAAAATAAGTAAAAGATTAGGTCAAGAATACAAAATTTTATTAAAGAGAATTGTAAGGAGGACATAGCTGAAAATATAGTTTGGGATGCAGGAAAAGTGGTGGTAAGAGGTCTACTAATTCAACAACACACTATTTGGTGCAAAAGAAAAAACAATATGCAATTAGAGATGCTTCCCAAAATCAGAGCAAGTTTGCACTTTTATGTACCTAGAATTAGAAGAACTAGAGAAGCCTAAGGCAGATATGAAAAAATAACTATTTTATGCCACCTATTACCCTAATTTTCTTAAATTATAACATTTATTTATCATATCAGAAGCAAACCAAATGGCTGTATTGTTTTTTTTTAACGTTTGATATTGAATGTCCTTTGATCAGTAGTTGGCCACTTGGAGTACCTCTGGTGTTGTTATAAGAAGGTCCTCCACTGTGCATATGGCAGGGCTCAGGCTGCATTGTAATAGGTGGTGTGTGGTTTGCTCTTCTCCACACTCGCATGTCATGGATTCCACTTTGTAGCCCCATTTCTTAAGGTTGACTCTGCATCTCATGGTGCGAGGGCACAGTCTGTTCAGCACCTTCCAAGTTGCCCGGTTTTCTGTGTGCCCAGGAGGGAGTCTCCCATTTGGAATCAGCCATGGGTTGATGTTCTGGGTATTAGCCTGCCACTTTTGGACCCCTGCTTGCTAAGGTGTTCCAGTGAGTGTCTCTGCAGATCTTAGAAAACTATTGGCGTGCTGGCTGATATCCGAACAAGGGATGGGCTGGAGATGTCACAGCCTTGGTCCTTTCAGTATTTGTTGCTACTTCCAGTGGATGTCAGATGGTGCAATACCAACTAAACAGTGTAATTTCTCCAGTGGTGTAGGGTGCAAGCACCCTGTGATAATGCAGCATGTCTCATTAAGAACCACATCCACTGTTCTAACATGGTGAGATGTGTTTCACACTGGGCATGCGTACTCGGCAGCAAAGTAGCAAAGCACAAGGGCAGATGTCTTCATTGTATCTGGTTGTGATTCCCAGGTTGTGCCAGTCAGCTTTCATATGATATTGTTTCTAGTGCCCACTTTTTGCTTGATATTCAGGCCGTGCTTCTTGTAGGTCAGAGAACAGTCCAGGATAACTCCCAGGTATTTGGGTGTACTGCAGTGCTCCAGTAGGATTCCTTCTCAGGTAATCCTCAGAGCTTGAGATGCTTGTCTGTTCTTAAAATGAAAAGCACACATCTGTGTTTTAAATGGATTAGGAATCAGCTGGTTTTCTCTGTAATGGGCAGTGAGGGCACCTAGTGCTTTGGAGAACTTCTGTTCAACCATCTCAAAGCTCCCTGCTTGAGTGATGATGGCACAATCATGAGCATAGATGAAACTCTCTGTCCCTTCTGGCAATGGCTGGTCATTTGTGTAAATGTTAAACATTGATTCTTATAACAGACTGAATGCGAAACATAGCATTGATTGAGAATCTTTACCTGAATGATACATTCACAGTTCTATTTGGGGTAATGCTGTTAAATATTAATATTATATAGCAGGTATAGCTAAAGGCTTTTGTTTGAGACCCCCAAATTACTACTGCCTGTCACCATACATGGTAGCTGGCTAGTCTGACCTGGTGTGAGACAGCTTATTCTGTTCTTATGTTCACAAAGATTATTGTTGACTATTGAGAGTTCTTTGGCAGTTGGCTTGTAAGAGGGTTTTTCAGTTTGACTCCAGTTGACTTCTTGAAGAGATATGTGAATAAAATGTTTTGTAACTCGGAACATCTTATTAGTGTTTTACTTTTGTGGTAGAGAGTTCATGAAATTATTTTTCTGACATTTTCTTTCTACCAGAAAACTCTTGCTCTTTTTAAAGTGGAATATTGCCTCTCTATGACCTATTTTGAACATAATGGATTGGGGGTCATAAATAAGTATTGGCTAGGTCATAAATTTATTTCTTATAGTTCTGTTCAGAACAACGTGATTTCAAATTACTCTGTAATGATGTTGGAAATAGTTGGCCTTATAAAGGTTCACATTTTTCCAGCTTGTTAGCTTCAAAATCATAAGTAACCTTCAATCGTCAGCTTCCAACTGTTATTTATCCATTTTAACCATTTAACACTAAAGAGATAAACACTGTTGAACATTTCTACTGATTCATAATAGTGTTATCTCCCGCTCTGCTATAGAGTATACCTTATACTTTCTTTTATAACTGACATGATAAAGTTAACTAAAGAACATGTTTGTTTTGGAAGGTGTAGTTGTGAATGTGGCCATGAATCTGAGGACCAATTGCAGCTCGAAAGTTGAAAAGGGGCAGACTTAGTCCTTACTTGATTCACCATTTTTTAAGTTTCATAGTTAGGGAAGGGCAACTATTGCCCCTTCTACACTGCCCTAAATTCCAGGATGGGATCCCAGATTATCTGTTTTAAACTGGATTATGAGTCTCCACTGTCAGATAACCTGGGATAAGCAAATAATCTGGGATCAGATCCTGGGATATAGGGGCAGTGTGGAAGGGGCCTATGTTAAGACTTTATCTAGAATAGCGGTAGTTTTCAGAACTTCACACAAGTAGACTCCATTCAGTTACTTATGTGATTTCAGGAGGCAATGGATTGCACCGGAACATATTTAGGTCTGCAGCAGTAAAGCAGACATAAATGCAACTCACAAGTGCATTTTTATTTACTTATTTTTGTGCCATAATACAAATAATTCACTTCCTCATAGTATTGAATATTTTGTGAACATTGATAGCAATGCCAATTTAATTACCCTGTTTCCCCAAAAATAAGACGGGGATCATATATTGATATTTTGCTCCAAAAGATGTGTTAAGGCTTATTTTCAGGGAGTGCCTTATTTACCAAATTGACTTTTTAATGAACTGAAACTAGGGCTTCTTTTTGAAGTAGGATTTATATTTTGAGCATTCTCAAAAATCCTGAAAAAATATGTTAGGGCTTATTTTGGGGTAGGTTTTATTTTCAGGAAACAGGGTAATATCTATTCCACAAATATTGGAAAATCAAGGAAGGGGGCTGTGGGTGTGAATACTTTTCAATACATTGTAAATATGCAGAGGTCTGTATTTTGAATAACAAAGTATCTTTGCATTTGGATTTGAGTGCACATCTGTTCATAAAGGAATATACTGAAATCAGTGAGAAAGTTAATCATTCCAGCTGATTTTACTTTGTTTATTTAAGTGGATACCCCACAGAATTATTCAAACTAATATGTGTTTATGCATGTTCATTTGAACTGTGTGGGTATATCAGCTACATGCGTGACTCTGTGCATTTTAAGTTTAAGAATTACTTGGGAAAATGAAAACCGTACACTGTTAGAAATAGTTACCCAAACAATGTAGTTTCTGTTAGTAACTGTTGAAAAAAGAATGCTGTATTTCAAAATTCTTGCATAATAAAAGCATGCTTCTGCAAACGCTTTATTTGTTCTCTTCAAATTATTTTTAAATATTACTGTATTATGATAATCATTTGAGATGAACTGGGGCCCAGCACATGATTAGTTTTTTTTTACCTGCTCTAGGGAAACTTGGTTCAAAATTTTATGAAATAAACAACTGTCTTTCTCTCTAATTATTTAAATTATATTTGTTGGAGGAACTGTTGGGAAGATGTGTTGCAAAATCAGCATTTTCCCCTCCATTTCAGGATGAACATGTTATATAATGAGACTCGGAGGAAAATAATTTATTAACATTTTTCCTGATAAGCTCAAAATTCATTTGAATACAAAATGTTGCCTTTGAAGCATAATATTCCACTGGTTAAGCACATAAAATTCCTCTGATTAGGCACATAACTCTTCATGTTTGCCTTTATTGATTCTATTCAGTGGTCTAATTGCATTCCAGGCTTAGTCTTTACCATGCTAATTTTGATTTAGGGTTTGTATTTCTTAAAAACAAACTGAGTGCACACCATCTATTATCGCTGCATGGTCTTTCCACAGCTGGGGGAAACTTTGGGATCAACTGTAATGACATAAAGTGAAGGTAAATTACTACAATATATAAAGGGTTATTTTAGTGTGGTAGCATTTTGCAAGATATTAATAGTCTGAATTTCACTTGGACACAATTTTTGTTTCCTTTGATGTCAGATATTAACTGGCATTTGATGTCACAGCCACTGTGCATTTTAAAGAATTTACTTTTATTTGACTATATTTACTTGGAGGTGTAAATAATAAGAATCTTTCTTTATAACCAGCTTTTCTTCTTCACAGGACCCAAAATGGCTTATAACATATTAAATTATGTAAACAACAATCCAAATACATCGATAACAAGTATAAAACATCATAAAATAATAATTTAAAGCAATAATAATATACACTCACATTCTTGTGGCATTATGTCAAATTATATTGCACTTTGTTCCAGTCTATAAACATGGTGTTTCGGATCACTTCAGCTTAGTTTCCTTCACTAAAGGTCTGTCTAAACAGGAATATTTTATGATTCTTGTAG